AAAGGCAAGAAGTGACTGGCTTACAAGCTTTCAAGAGGGAACCTAGATCCAGAGGGTCTGGAGGAAGGTAGAAAAAATAATAATAAATAAATCAAAACAAAACAAAACAAAAAACTAGATGTGATTCAAAATTGGAATTTTTCTGGACCTCAGAAAAGGATGATACAGATACTTAGCACCCCAAGTACAATCTGGGTCAGTACTAAGTAATGGAGCACATTCATATTTCTGCAGTGAAATGAGATAAATGAAGATCATAAAGTTCCATGTCTTTTAGATCAGATTTAGTTGTCAAGTTACTATTTTAAAAATGTATGGTGGTAAGATATATATAACAACAAAAAAGCCATTTTTACCATTTTTAAGTGTATAATTCAGTGGCATTAATTGCACTCACTATCTTTTCAACCTTTACCACTATTTCCAAAACTTTTTCATCATTCCAAACAGAAACAGTGTCGCCATTAAGCAATCATTCTCATTTCTCCCTCACCCCAGCTCCTGATAACCTCTAAACTACTTTCTGTTTCTATGAGTTTGCCCATCCTAGATATTTCATGTAAGAGGAATGACATAACATTAATTACTTTCTGTTTGGCTTATTTTACTTAGCATGCAGTTTTCAGGGTTTTCTCCATGTTGTAGCCTGCAATAGAACTTCATTCCTTCTTATCGCTGAATAATATTTTATTGGAATCCTAGTGTGGCACTGTAGGATCAGCAATGGATTGTGAATTACAAGGTTGGCAGTTCAAACCCACCAGATCCTTGGAAACCCTATATAGGGTCTCTATGAGTCGGAACTCACTGATGGTATTTAACCTCAATATTCTATTGTATGTACGTGCCACATTTGGTTTCTTGGTTTACTTATTGGTGAGCCTTTGGGTTGTTTTCATAGTTTGGATATTGTGAATAATGCTGCTATGAACATCAGTGTACAACTATCTGTTTATGTCTCTGCCTTCAGTTATTTTTCCATTTAGGAGTGGACTTGTTGGGTCATATGATAATTCTATGTTTAACTTTTTTCTAGAAACCACCAAACTGTTTTTCACAGTGGCTGTAACATTTTACAATCTCACCAACAATGGAAAAAAGGCTCAATTTCACCACATCTTTGCCAACATTTTCTGCTTTCCGTTTTTCTGATAATAGCCATTCTAGTGGGAATGAAGTAGTATCTCATTGTGTTTTTTATTTGTATTTCCCTAATAATAATGACAGGAGTCGCTGGGTGGCACAGTTAGACGCTTGATTACTAGTTGAAAATGTAGCCGTTTGAACTCACCTAGAGGCAGCTTGGGAGGCAGACTTGGCAATCTGTTTCCAAAAGGTCACAGCTTTGAAAACCCTATGGAGCAGTTCTATTCTGCACACAAGAGGTTGCTATGGGTTGGAATGAACTCCATGGCAACTAACAGCAGTGATAATGATGCTGAGTATCTTTTCATGCGCTTAATAGCCATTTGTGTATCTTCTTTGAGGAAATGTCTATTCAAGTTCTTTGACCACTTTTTTTTTTTTTTTAAGTTTTTATTATGAATTGAGTGCTAGTTTACATGGGAGAACAGAAGTTTTACACTCATCCTTTCAGTGCAATGATTACAATCCCCTCCATGCATCATCATTCATTCAATAGTATTTGCTTCTATTCCCTCTGGTGTTTTTTTTTCTTTCTTTCTTTTACTACTTTTTAATTGGGTTATTTTTGTCATTGTCAAGTGGTTGTTCTTTATAATTCTGGATACTAGACTTTTATCAGATATATGATTGCAAATATAGTCTCCCATTTTCTAGGCTATTTTCACTTGTTTAATAATGCCCTTTGATGCACCAAGGTTTACATTTTGATGAAGTCCCATTTTTTCATCCTTTTTTTGTTTGTGTTTTGGTATGATAGCTAAGAATGCATTGTAAAACCCAAGATCATGAAAGTTTACCCCTATGTTTTCTTTTTAAGAGTTTTATGATTTTAGTGCTTATATTTAGGCCTTTGATCCATTTTGAATGAATTTTTGTATATGGTGTGAGTTAGGAGTCTAGCTTCATTTTTTTGTTTTTTTTTCAAACCAAAGGTTTCACATATTCATTAGCCATCCTTTTAATATGAAAGCATTAAATCAAAAGAAGAAATTTTTGCAATACATGTTCAATTGATCAGTTCTTGGCAAAATTGAACTTGATATGGTGGAGAGCTAGAACCTAGGTACATTATGGGCTGTGCCATCACATGTGTGAATCCTTGGAGACCCAGCTTGGTTCTTCTCCAGTGTCTTCTCCTGGGGTGGTACCTGATTTTATTACCAGTTTCCATTCAAATCCATTGGGGAATGGGAGGATTCTGCTTTTGTTTCTTGGCCGGGAATCTCTTGATCTTGAAAGTCTTATGAAAAGACATAACGGAGAAGAAAGGTAGCAGCCCCCACACAATGGCAAAGAAAGGAAGAGAAGGCGAGCTTCATTATTTTACATGTAGATATCTGGTTGTCCTATCACCATTTGTTGGCATGCCATTCTTAACCCATTGAATGAACTTGTATCTTTGTTAAAAATCAGTTGACTATAGATGTATGGGTTTATTTCTGGACTCTCAATTCTACTCTATTGGTCTATATTTTTATCATCATACTAGTAGCAGCCTGTTATGGTTATTCTCTGTTGTTGTTGTTGTTGATAAGTGTCTTTGAGTCAGTTCTGACTCATAGCAACCCTGTATAGGGTTTCTAAGGAACAGCTGGTGGGCTCTGATCCTATAGCACCACAGCAGAAGTCCTTGGTTACTGTGTTGTTGTTGTCAAGTGCTGTTGAGTTGGTTCCGACTCATAGTGACTTGTATAGGGCTTCCAAGGAGCAGCTGGTGAGTTTGAACCACTGACATTGTGGTTCAAACTGACCTTGTGGTCCAGTGCTTTCTTTATACTACAGTGCCACACCAGGACTCCATTGTATTAAGTCTTGAAATCAGAAAGTGTGAGTTCTCCAACTTTGTTTTTCGTTTTCAAGATTGTTTTGGCTCTGCCGGGTCCCTTAACCTTCCATATAATGTTTAGTATAAGCTTATCAATTTTTGTATAGATGCCTGCTGGAATTAAGATGTGGATTACATTGAATTTGTAGATGAAGCTGAAGACTATTGTTATCTTAACATTAAGTCTTTTGGGCTGTATTATTTCCAATAGTTTTTTCTTGCAGCAAAGCCTAGTCCATCCTAACAAATATGTTCCTCATTGAGATCAGAGTAAAGAGGCTGAGCAGGACAAAAGAGACCTTGTGTTAGTGGAGATTTGGATTTTTAGTTCCAATGGCTATATTTATTATCTTTATATACCCACTCCCTCCTACCTGTTACAAAACATCCTTTGTGGGCTTCACAACTCCAGGTATTCACTTAACAAACTCTGTAACTGCTTCCTGTCCTTTTGTTCCCAAACCACAAAGTGAGTATGTGGTTTTCTAAAAACTAAACTCAAGCCAACTAAACAAGCGGTCATTGAGCTACAGTTTTTGAAGTTAAAGTTCCAATTAATAATCACAAACCTATTAACTATCATTCACAACTGAATCATATAGTCCTATTAGCATCACCCCTACCTTCTCTTACCTAGATCTATCAGGAAAAGAGGAAATACATCCAATCAGCATGGTCCCAGTCAGTCATGTGGTAGGAGTTACAAAGACTATGGCTAGAAGAGACATAGCAAATAATTCACGACCCCACACTTAACATAACATAAGCCTAACAGGATGGCAAAAATGACCAATACCATATAAGGGTTTCATGTACCCTATTTGCATGCTCCACTCCCACAAGGATTCCATGAACCTTATTTACATTAGCAAAACTGTCTAATCCCCTTGTGGGCCATAAACACCTTATTTACATGTTAACATTTACTGAGCACCTGCTATGTCTCAAGCACAATCAGAACTCCACAGTCCCTGTATTAGGGGACACTGTGTCATGAAATGGGAGTGACAGTAAATAGGAGCCCCAATCATTTTCTGGGAGTTTAAAGGCCATGGCTAAAGGGGCCATACAGAAGCAATTCGCTGTATGGCTCCTGGAATTAGTTTGATTGAGAAATATGTGGCATTGTGGGTTAATGTGCTGAACTGCAAGGTAAATTTAAACAGAAAGCTCGGTGGTTCAAACTCACCAGCCAACTCCTTGGAAAACCTATAGGGTGGCTATGAGTTGGAACTGACTTGATGGCACTTAACAACAATAAAGTAAGCATCAAACAGTTTTTTTAAAAAAATAATTTCTACCAGCTGTTTCTGGGAAACCTTATGCAGGGTAGCTATGAGTCGGAAACGACACGATAGCACTAAACAACAACAACCAACTGTATGTAATTTGTCATTCCCTCTGTCCTGTTGGGCATTTTGGCCCTTTTAATGACATCTCCAGCTGGTTCCCAAAACGTCCAGTTACTCTTAGTTACTAATACAGAGTTTTATCTCAGGCATTAACGTGATTTTTCCATTTTCAAAGGTCGATCTCACATTGAATTCAAAGTCCTAGCAGGCAGGGTTTGTGGCCTGAAGTGGAGAACCAGAGCTGTCTGCTCTTTTACAACCTCTGTCTCTTTCCTGCCCTCTGGTGGGGAGGAACAGGAAGGAACAAAAAGGACAGATTTCCTTAGGTGTTCTCTGATGGCCCTTGGCTGACCCCATCTTCACTGTTTGTATAGTGGCCTGGGGGTTAGTGTTCTCTGGTCCCTCACAGCTGCTCAGCCCATTACCTAGAAAAACAATGTATATGTGCATGTGGAAGAGCCTATACTGGTAAAGGGTTTGATCCCTTCTGCTAGAGACTTCATGGCTTGCCTCTTTGCCTATAGGCCTCATCACACCTACCCTCTGCAACCTCAATCTTGGGGCCTGCAGACAGGGAGAATCCATTTTTCTGCCTCTTTGTGGACCTGGTCACATCCTTCTTTCTCCAATTTCCTTTCCCTATTTCAGTAACACCAGGGCAAGTCAGCAAGCTCAGTGGTTCAGCAGACATCAACGGGGAAGATGGTAGACTCCCCTTAGTCGCATCTCAGACCTGATGAGTAATTCTCTTTCCTGCTGTTCCAGTGATCTATTCCTGTGTAACAAACCAACTTGAACTTTGTGGCATAAAAGAACAAGTATTTGACTATGCTTATGAATTCTGTGGGTCAGAAATTTAAATAAAGCATGGATGGCTTGTCTCTGCTTGAGGTAGGCAGTTTCCAAGATGGTTCCCAGTGATGATCTGCTTCCTGGCATTCATGCCTTTTGTAGTTTCTTCCTATATTATAATAGGGTTGTTCTGTGTGACCAATATAAGAGGGAAGCAGTGAGAGCATTTCACTTTAAGTCTGGGTTACTGAAGATACGGTGACTTCTGCAACACGCTCTCTTTTAGACTACTCACTCTGGGGGTAAAGTGGAGGGTTGGAGAAAAAGAGAAACACCCCCAACAAGATGCACTGGCACAGGGGTGGCAGGGATGGATTCCGGAATAGCAATGATTGTGAGGTTGAGCCAGGACTGGGCAGTGTTTTGTTCTGTTGTGCATAGGGAGGGTCACTATGAGGTGGTACCGACTTGATGGTACCTAACAACAACAGCAACACTCTGGGGGAGACCAGGTATCAGATACTTGCATTTGGAGAAGAACTGAGGCA